GATACCAAGTATTTGATCCCAAAATTGAGAGATTTTACGAATCTTCTTCACACATGCTCAAACCTTAAGCTGAAATTCTCACCATTCTTCTAAATTTCATGCAATCTCAACCTTCTCTCTTATACAATCACTCCTAGTAACTTACGGCTATATTGACTACCAAGCACAATACTGCGACAACATCAACAACAAAACCACATCCCACTACATAAGGTAGGCTATATAAATCACAATGTCATTCGGCTCCTTAAAGACCAACGTTTCAGAGATGTTATCATAAAACCCAATTAAAAATGCAAAATCAAGATTGAAAGGCAGACACGAGACATTACATTCTATGAGCTTTAATAAAAATGCTGCCACCAGAACCTCCTCCACCTTTGATCCCACCGTCTCCTCCATTTGCCAAGAGATCCCCAGACACATCAACGGAATCAACAGCAATAAGCTTAATTCTCCCCCCTCCTTCCCCTCCATACTTCTCCTCCTTACTAGTCGTCCCACCCTTACTCCCATAACTCCACGGCTTATCCAGCGACGACCACGAGTACGCATCCCCACCCCAAACATCATCGGGAAGCTTCGTATTATCCGAAACACAGGTGGCGCCTCTCCCTCCGTGCCCTCCTCCCGCCCCCTGCGTCCCCGACGGCGTCCCGCTCGTCTGCGCCGGCGGCGCCCCGGCCAGTCCAGTCACGTTTATCAACGAACCGCTGAACAAACTCGCGTTCCGCGAAACCACCATCACCGTCCCTGCAACCATAACAGCACCACTCTGCAAACTAAATTCGCCACTCACGTTAATCAAAATCGCGCACCCCAACACGGGGCAACTCAAATTCACGCCGGGAAGTATGTTCAAACTCCCGTTCCCTTCTATGTACACGTCGCCGTCGAAAAGCAGACTCGAATTGAGATCGCATGTGGTGGCGAGCGAGCCCGTCCCATTGAGACCCTCCTGGCACGTGAGCGAGGGCGGATGAGGCAGTGGCGGCGGCGGCGGCGGCGCCGGAGGCGTGTAGTCGCCAAATAGCGCGTCGAAATCGGAATCGAGGATCGAGAATCCATGGTGCGAATTCTGAGAAGCGAAAGATAAAGTGAAGTATAAGAGTATTGAAAAGGTGGTTAGATGTGAAAGAGGTTTGTGAAGAGTGTAAGCCATTAAAAAGGAGGCAAACTCATCACTGAGAGGTATAAAGTGTTGAAATCGATTCCAAAGGGAATAACTGAATAGGGTTTTTGGATTTTGATGAAATGGTGAATTGGATTGAAGAAGGGCTGAAGAAGGGCTGAAGAAGAAAACTGTAAAAATATATATTATAATATTATTATAATGAAGAACAAAAAAGAAGGTATAAAGGAAATGTAGCAGAAGAAGTTAAGTTAGTGTAGGAAAAGAGAAGTGAGTAATGCGGAAAGGGACGATGGCAAGCGTCTGAACTCAACAGGTGGCTGCTAACTGCATACGCTGGGGGCAACAACACGCACGTATGGCACGTGCGCTTCTTCTTCTCTTCTTTTCGTTTCTCTTCTTTTCACTTCACTCTTCTCTTCTTACTCACGTTACCAGTTGCTCATTACTGAATTGGGCTCACCAGCCCAGCCCAGCCCAGCCCAGCCCATAACACTTCTTCATTTCTTCCACAAAAAAGTTTGTTACACATCAAATTCTTATCTTATGAGAAAACCACTTAGAAGAAAAATAAATCTTATCATAACTGGTAATAACATGTGATAGTTAGAGGGAGTTACACCAAATATTAGGCGTTAATAAAATATTTGTTATTTAAAAATTATTTATCAATATTTTTTTCAAAGATAACTGTAACACTACTTTTCAATATATTCTTTTATCTATAATGAAAACTGTATATAAAGGATTTTTGGTGTCCATTTCAAGTTAACTCTCTATATAAAACTTTTTTAAATAAAAAAAATTATTTTACCAATTTTATTATTTAAGTGATCGTTTCATTAAATTTTAATCATTGTTTTAATTAAAAAATTGCCTAAAAATAAATAAAAAACTATGTATAATAAAATCATATAAATTATTTATATTTCATTTAATAATTATAGTAATAACAATAATTTTATTATTTTTTACCATCATAAAGTGAATACATATACTTCCATGTGTTTTTATTGGTAATATGGAATGAAAATTCTCTGGATTAACATTTTTCTTGTTCTCTAACTCTTATAAAAAATTCAATTATATGCCTAATTTTATTTAGTATTTTAGATTTAAAAAATACTCAATTATATCATTTCTCTTATAAGTTTTCTAAATTAATTTTATTTTTTTAAGTAGAGTGATTTTATATATAAATTCTAACAATAATGTCAATTTATAATAAAATATATAATTGGATATTTTTAAAAACTAAAACAAGATTTAACCCAATAAAAATAAGGGATCTTCTTTATAAGAATTAGAAGAAAAAAATAAGCATCATTTGATGTAAAAGTAAATTTTAATTCATAGTCAATATGATTTATTATCAGTTTACTCACTTAATCTACATATTAAATAAATTTAAACTGGATTAAAGGTGGATTAGCCCATAACCCATGACAACAACACTTTAATAGTATTTTAACCATTTTTTATAAGATGTTTATTAAAATTGTTTAATACTTATAATTATATAAGCTCACAATTTGATCTTATAGAATATTGTTCAATAGTATTTGAATAATTTAAGTATTTAATTTATTTGTTTTTCAAGTTATATATATTGATATTTTAATTTTTAACTGATATTTTTGTGATAATAGTTAGAGAATTAGATAAACATTTTGATTTCATTATTGTAAAAAATAAATAAATCAAGTTAGTCTATTTTGTTGTGCAATGATAAATATATAAAATAAATTTTGAAGATAAAAGTTTGGTAAGTTAATTAACCCACTAACATATCAATTCATAATAAATCGAGATAGATTACAAAATTTTTAACTCACTAAAAAATAACTAGATTGAATTGACTTTGCAAACCCGTGTAAGTTGAGTTATACTTTTCAACCCCTGTTCAAAAATACATTTTTGCCACATAAGTCGCCTTAAAACAAAGAGAAGCTTAGGCTTCTATAACACATAGGAAAGAAATACTTTATTACTACTTCATTCTTATAACACTTTAAGAAAGGGTAAAAGTATTAAGTAAAATTAAATACATTAATGTCTCGATAAAAACAATATCTAATAATTACAATTTTACAAATTAATCTATCTTATGGATATGATATATGGAAGAGAGTGTGAAAGAAATTTTAAGTTTAATTTTCTTATTAACAAAATATTATCAATTAATATTTATCGATAAAAAATATATATAAGTAAAATATTATTTTAATTAGGAAAACGTTTAGGATTAACAAAAACTATGATAGATTTAAGTTTTAAAAAGTTTATCTTGAAAAAAAAAATAGTTAAATTAAACATTTACATGTCTCTTATGATATACATTTGTTTTTCGTACTCATCAACTTCAATTTTTTCTTGCACGACTCTATGAAATAATTTGCTTGTAGGAAGGCAAATAAACCAAAGGCATCGTATATTGTTTCACACACATGGATTAGGCACCGAAATTTCTTCTTCTGACATATTCAAAAGGATTTGGACTTCAAATATCTCCAATTTCGTCACTTTTTTTCTTTATTATATCTGGGTCACCCTCGAACAATTATTTTTGTTTTATTTCATGAGTTGAGTTTCTTATGATGTATTATACTTTTTAAGATAGAGGAAATTAAAAATACAACTGAATCAAAAATAACTTCATTTGTTTTCTATTATATTGTTTTATTTTACCTAGAACTGTCAACGGGTCATCCGGCTCGATTCGGCCCGACCCACCACGGGTTGGTCTCTTAGTGAGCCAACCCAACCCGGCTCATTTGTTAGCGAGTCAGAAAAATTCGAACGAGGACCAACCCACGGGTTGGTGGGTAAACGGGTTGGCTCACTTAATTACCATTTTTTTAAAATAAAAAAAATTACAAAATTTCTATAATTCAAATCTAAACAAATTTCGCACCCAAATTTCACTTCCAACATGATGTTTAATTAATTTTGAAAATAAGGAACTTAAATAATTTTTTCAAGCAAAAACAAAATAATAAATATTTTTTTATAAAATTAAAATTAAATTTTAATAAAATAAAATTAGATAGGTGGGTTGGTGAATCAACCCGATCCATCACGGGTTCAACTCGCATGAATCAAGTTTAAACGAGCAGAGTTGAAATTTGACCCGCATTAGAAAAATACAACTTTTTCAAACCCAACCCGGCTCAAATCCGTGGTGGACCAGGTTGACCCGCGGATTGTGACCTATTTTGATCGCTCTGATTTTACCAATACATATCGTGTGTGCTCGCACATAAAAAATTAACAAAGAATTAAAATATGTTTTTATTGAAAAAAATGGAATGAGACATGATATAAAACATATTTGTGGATAAACAAAAAGTATTAACAAAATATATGTAAATTATGAAGAAAGAGTACGAGAATTTTATTAGTTACAACAAATTAATAAAAATACAGTCTTAATTAAAGTATAAATATTCATATCACATTTCAATCCAAAAACCATTCCCTACCAGAAAACCTTATTTTGAGGGAATATTATGTTTTGAACAGTAAACCAAACTTAAAAACATTTTTTCCAACTTCAAATTCACCGAAAAAAAAAAAAGTTTCCTATCTACTATACGCGTAATTATAAATTCCTTCTTAATATGCATTAATCCTCTTTGATTGCTTTTTTAGGATTGTTTTGTGTAACCCTATGATATAATATAAAAAATTGTTATTTAATTAAAATTTAGAAATAATCTTTTAATAATAAGATTTTATTTGAGGAACAATAACATTAGAATAGAGATAATAATCATTAAATTCTTTTTATAACGAGGTTTGATTACAACAAATTATTATTTTTCCGTACACAAAAATATGCCATATAAGAGAACAACTGTTTTTTGTCTTATATTATGTCTATTTCAGTATAAATAATATTTCGTAAACTCATGACAATAGAAATATATTAATAGTATAATTAATATACTTGTTTAAAAATACAAATGTTACATTTTACATAATAAATATTTACATTTTNACATTCTATGAGCTTTAATAAAAATGCTGCCACCAGAACCTCCTCCACCTTTGATCCCACCGTCTCCTCCATTTGCCAAGAGATCCCCAGACACATCAACGGAATCAACAGCAATAAGCTTAATTCTCCCCCCTCCTTCCCCTCCATACTTCTCCTCCTTACTAGTCGTCCCACCCTTACTCCCATAACTCCACGGCTTATCCAGCGACGACCACGAGTACGCATCCCCACCCCAAACATCATCGGGAAGCTTCGTATTATCCGAAACACAGGTGGCGCCTCTCCCTCCGTGCCCTCCTCCCGCCCCCTGCGTCCCCGACGGCGTCCCGCTCGTCTGCGCCGGCGGCGCCCCGGCCAGTCCAGTCACGTTTATCAACGAACCGCTGAACAAACTCGCGTTCCGCGAAACCACCATCACCGTCCCTGCAACCATAACAGCACCACTCTGCAAACTAAATTCGCCACTCACGTTAATCAAAATCGCGCACCCCAACACGGGGCAACTCAAATTCACGCCGGGAAGTATGTTCAAACTCCCGTTCCCTTCTATGTACACGTCGCCGTCGAAAAGCAGACTCGAATTGAGATCGCATGTGGTGGCGAGCGAGCCCGTCCCATTGAGACCCTCCTGGCACGTGAGCGAGGGCGGATGAGGCAGTGGCGGCGGCGGCGGCGGCGCCGGAGGCGTGTAGTCGCCAAATAGCGCGTCGAAATCGGAATCGAGGATCGAGAATCCATGGTGCGAATTCTGAGAAGCGAAAGATAAAGTGAAGTATAAGAGTATTGAAAAGGTGGTTAGATGTGAAAGAGGTTTGTGAAGAGTGTAAGCCATTAAAAAGGAGGCAAACTCATCACTGAGAGGTATAAAGTGTTGAAATCGATTCCAAAGGGAATAACTGAATAGGGTTTTTGGATTTTGATGAAATGGTGAATTGGATTGAAGAAGGGCTGAAGAAGGGCTGAAGAAGAAAACTGTAAAAATATATATTATAATATTATTATAATGAAGAACAAAAAAGAAGGTATAAAGGAAATGTAGCAGAAGAAGTTAAGTTAGTGTAGGAAAAGAGAAGTGAGTAATGCGGAAAGGGACGATGGCAAGCGTCTGAACTCAACAGGTGGCTGCTAACTGCATACGCTGGGGGCAACAACACGCACGTATGGCACGTGCGCTTCTTCTTCTCTTCTTTTCGTTTCTCTTCTTTTCACTTCACTCTTCTCTTCTTACTCACGTTACCAGTTGCTCATTACTGAATTGGGCTCACCAGCCCAGCCCAGCCCAGCCCATAACACTTCTTCATTTCTTCCACAAAAAAGTTTGTTACACATCAAATTCTTATCTTATGAGAAAACCACTTAGAAGAAAAATAAATCTTATCATAACTGGTAATAACATGTGATAGTTAGAGGGAGTTACACCAAATATTAGGCGTTAATAAAATATTTGTTATTTAAAAATTATTTATCAATATTTTTTTCAAAGATAACTGTAACACTACTTTTCAATATATTCTTTTATCTATAATGAAAACTGTATATAAAGGATTTTTGGTGTCCATTTCAAGTTAACTCTCTATATAAAACTTTTTTAAATAAAAAAAATTATTTTACCAATTTTATTATTTAAGTGATCGTTTCATTAAATTTTAATCATTGTTTTAATTAAAAAATTGCCTAAAAATAAATAAAAAACTATGTATAATAAAATCATATAAATTATTTATATTTCATTTAATAATTATAGTAATAACAATAATTTTATTATTTTTTACCATCATAAAGTGAATACATATACTTCCATGTGTTTTTATTGGTAATATGGAATGAAAATTCTCTGGATTAACATTTTTCTTGTTCTCTAACTCTTATAAAAAATTCAATTATATGCCTAATTTTATTTAGTATTTTAGATTTAAAAAATACTCAATTATATCATTTCTCTTATAAGTTTTCTAAATTAATTTTATTTTTTTAAGTAGAGTGATTTTATATATAAATTCTAACAATAATGTCAATTTATAATAAAATATATAATTGGATATTTTTAAAAACTAAAACAAGATTTAACCCAATAAAAATAAGGGATCTTCTTTATAAGAATTAGAAGAAAAAAATAAGCATCATTTGATGTAAAAGTAAATTTTAATTCATAGTCAATATGATTTATTATCAGTTTACTCACTTAATCTACATATTAAATAAATTTAAACTGGATTAAAGGTGGATTAGCCCATAACCCATGACAACAACACTTTAATAGTATTTTAACCATTTTTTATAAGATGTTTATTAAAATTGTTTAATACTTATAATTATATAAGCTCACAATTTGATCTTATAGAATATTGTTCAATAGTATTTGAATAATTTAAGTATTTAATTTATTTGTTTTTCAAGTTATATATATTGATATTTTAATTTTTAACTGATATTTTTGTGATAATAGTTAGAGAATTAGATAAACATTTTGATTTCATTATTGTAAAAAATAAATAAATCAAGTTAGTCTATTTTGTTGTGCAATGATAAATATATAAAATAAATTTTGAAGATAAAAGTTTGGTAAGTTAATTAACCCACTAACATATCAATTCATAATAAATCGAGATAGATTACAAAATTTTTAACTCACTAAAAAATAACTAGATTGAATTGACTTTGCAAACCCGTGTAAGTTGAGTTATACTTTTCAACCCCTGTTCAAAAATACATTTTTGCCACATAAGTCGCCTTAAAACAAAGAGAAGCTTAGGCTTCTATAACACATAGGAAAGAAATACTTTATTACTACTTCATTCTTATAACACTTTAAGAAAGGGTAAAAGTATTAAGTAAAATTAAATACATTAATGTCTCGATAAAAACAATATCTAATAATTACAATTTTACAAATTAATCTATCTTATGGATATGATATATGGAAGAGAGTGTGAAAGAAATTTTAAGTTTAATTTTCTTATTAACAAAATATTATCAATTAATATTTATCGATAAAAAATATATATAAGTAAAATATTATTTTAATTAGGAAAACGTTTAGGATTAACAAAAACTATGATAGATTTAAGTTTTAAAAAGTTTATCTTGAAAAAAAAAATAGTTAAATTAAACATTTACATGTCTCTTATGATATACATTTGTTTTTCGTACTCATCAACTTCAATTTTTTCTTGCACGACTCTATGAAATAATTTGCTTGTAGGAAGGCAAATAAACCAAAGGCATCGTATATTGTTTCACACACATGGATTAGGCACCGAAATTTCTTCTTCTGACATATTCAAAAGGATTTGGACTTCAAATATCTCCAATTTCGTCACTTTTTTTCTTTATTATATCTGGGTCACCCTCGAACAATTATTTTTGTTTTATTTCATGAGTTGAGTTTCTTATGATGTATTATACTTTTTAAGATAGAGGAAATTAAAAATACAACTGAATCAAAAATAACTTCATTTGTTTTCTATTATATTGTTTTATTTTACCTAGAACTGTCAACGGGTCATCCGGCTCGATTCGGCCCGACCCACCACGGGTTGGTCTCTTAGTGAGCCAACCCAACCCGGCTCATTTGTTAGCGAGTCAGAAAAATTCGAACGAGGACCAACCCACGGGTTGGTGGGTAAACGGGTTGGCTCACTTAATTACCATTTTTTTAAAATAAAAAAAATTACAAAATTTCTATAATTCAAATCTAAACAAATTTCGCACCCAAATTTCACTTCCAACATGATGTTTAATTAATTTTGAAAATAAGGAACTTAAATAATTTTTTCAAGCAAAAACAAAATAATAAATATTTTTTTATAAAATTAAAATTAAATTTTAATAAAATAAAATTAGATAGGTGGGTTGGTGAATCAACCCGATCCATCACGGGTTCAACTCGCATGAATCAAGTTTAAACGAGCAGAGTTGAAATTTGACCCGCATTAGAAAAATACAACTTTTTCAAACCCAACCCGGCTCAAATCCGTGGTGGACCAGGTTGACCCGCGGATTGTGACCTATTTTGATCGCTCTGATTTTACCAATACATATCGTGTGTGCTCGCACATAAAAAATTAACAAAGAATTAAAATATGTTTTTATTGAAAAAAATGGAATGAGACATGATATAAAACATATTTGTGGATAAACAAAAAGTATTAACAAAATATATGTAAATTATGAAGAAAGAGTACGAGAATTTTATTAGTTACAACAAATTAATAAAAATACAGTCTTAATTAAAGTATAAATATTCATATCACATTTCAATCCAAAAACCATTCCCTACCAGAAAACCTTATTTTGAGGGAATATTATGTTTTGAACAGTAAACCAAACTTAAAAACATTTTTTCCAACTTCAAATTCACCGAAAAAAAAAAAAGTTTCCTATCTACTATACGCGTAATTATAAATTCCTTTTTAATATGCATTAATCCTCTTTGATTGCTTTTTTAGGATTGTTTTGTGTAACCCTATGATATAATATAAAAAATTGTTATTTAATTAAAATTTAGAAATAATCTTTTAATAATAAGATTTTATTTGAGGAACAATAACATTAGAATAGAGATAATAATCATTAAATTCTTTTTATAATGAGGTTTGATTACAACAAATTATTATTTTTCCTTACACAAAAATATGCCATATAAGAGAACAACTGTTTTTTGTCTTATATTATGTCTATTTCAGTATAAATAATATTTCGTAAACTCATGACAATAGAAATATATTAATAGTATAATTAATATACTTGTTTAAAAATACAAATGTTACATTTTACATAATAAATATTTACATTTTCAAAATTATAATTATAATTATTTTTATTTATTATTTTCTTCCTGTTTTTAGATAAGAGTAATTATAATTTAAAATAGAGATAACAATCATTAAAGTCTTTTTCTTGACTTATAATGAGGTTTGATTACAATAAATTATTATTTTTCCATACACAAAAATAAGCCACATAAAGATAAGAGAACACCTGTTTTTTGTCTTATATTAATTTCTATTTTAGACTATTCTCAAATCAAATTTTAAGTATCTCAAGCATAAATATCACAGCTAATTTTTATTTCCCTATAGAGTGCTTTTCACAGATGTTTTATTCTTCATTTATTGGACTTGTCTTTTATTTTTAATTAGTTACGTTAATATTATTTACCTTTTTCACAAGTTTAGAATGCATAACATTTTTTATTTGTCATAAATGTATAAAAAATTAAAGTCATTGTTAGTAAAGTGTCTGTCTTTTTAAGTATAAGTTATCGGAACTTTTGACATTAATTTAACTTATAATTGAAAATAAACACAAAGCTTTTCTTAAAAGTTGATAGGTGTAAATTTTAAATAAATCTAGCTATCGAACTCATAATTGATCAATGTCTAATAAAATGATTTTTTTTAAAATAAAATCTAAACAAACGTAACTTCTATATTACTATTTTATTCTAATAAATACGAATTCATTCTTAGAGACTCAACCAATTGACTATTACTCAAATGATCAAATCAAAATTTAATTTTTTTTTTCCTTAATAAATTTGAGAGACAAATGCCACTTGTGAAGCATACAAGAACAAGTAAAAAATTAATTTAAAAGATGATGATCTTTAAAATTTCTAAATGTTTGAGTTACGAGAGAAATCCATAAATGTAACATGTAATTCTAAATATTAACAAAAGTTATAGAAAGCGATTCATAGGATTTCATTTGATTCAATATACAGTATTGGCAAAGTTATATAGGAATGGATCGTGATGGATGAATTTGATAATAAAATGATATTTAATGGAGAAATATTTGATAATAATCAGAGAATATTCTTAGAATTTATTTAAAATATTTTTTATTTAATTCAGAATATTTATTGATCATATTAGAACATTTTTAGATTTTATTCCCAAAGAATTACTGCAAAGTAATACTAAAATTATGTTGCAATAATATCTCATAAAATAATTTTTAAATGAATTAACAAAACATTAAGATTGAATTATTTTTAACGTATGTATATTATTTAGTTAACTAGATTTAGTTTACTTTTAGTTCAAATATTTATTATAATTATTAGAAAATACACACTATTTAATTAAAATTTAGCTGTCAAAGAAAATAAATTATGTTGACTATAAATTATAAAACATCATAAGTTAA